CCCCCCCCCCGCACCAAGGCGCCACCCCCGCAGCAGCAGCAGGGATACGCGCCCACACCGCCCGGGATGCCGGCACAAGTGGGGTACCAGTACACCCCTTCCGGCCAGGCCTACGGCAGCATGTGAGTATCGTACCGCGCACTACAAGTCGCTTTGGTTGCAACCCCCACCCCACCCTGACGGGAAGATTGGCCACGAGATGTGATCGGTTGCTGTGGGAACAATGCTCCGTGCTTTCGTGGTGAATGTCTAACAGCTGAGACATGCAAAACATGAGAGTGCCCCCGGCCCCCCCTCTTACATGATGAGTCAAGGCGTCCACGGTGAGGTAGGTAGGTAGGTAGGTCGTCGGGAGGAACAACTTCCGCCGCCAAATTGTCACGGGGTCAAACTCGTTTGCCTGAAACGGCCCAGTTGTTGGCGACTGCTGCTGCTGTGTTGTAGATACTCGCGACCAAAAATATCTGATGGCTCTGCGATGTCCCGCTGCCTTGCTTCATTGTCGTCTTCTCGTGGTGGCGCTGTGTCAACCTCTCAACCTCTCAACCCTCGCAGTTACTACGGCCAGCAGGGGCCGGTCCAGTCCAACCCCTACCAGTACGGGTACCCGCCACACCAGTACCCGCCGAGCGCAAGCCAGTACCAGCAGGGGGGCGGCGGACAGCGCTTCCCGAACATGCCTCGCGGGTAAGCGGAACAACCCTCTTGTTTTTTTTTTTTTGTCGTGGGGGGACTATCACCATATTAGATAGGACGAAGCAACAACACATGTGAGTGCATGCCATCTTGCCTTGGGCAAAGCTGCAGGCGGCTCCGTGTCGCCGTGCGTACGTTGTATGTACGTATGCATACTTGAGCGAGTTTTTTTTTCCCGATATCGGCAACGGGTATGAAAGCCGCCGCCCTGCATCCCGTCCCTTGTTGACGTTTTTTGTTGTTGTTGTTGCCGTGTGGTCGACGGTGTTGGTGGTCAAACAACCGTGGTGAAACAAAAAAATCGACAGGTACCCGGCTACCGAGTACGGGAGCCAGGGCGGGATGGGGATGGGCTACGGCCAGATGGACTACTCGGCAAGCAGCCAGTACGGTGTCCCGGTGCGTGCCTTGCCCTCATGGCTTCAGTTACCGCTACCAGAACCAGAACCAGGGGCTCGGGCGAAGGCTTCGCAGCAGCAGGGCGCATGCTTTTTTTTTATCTTTTTTGTTGGTCGGTCGTTCGGTGTTTGCCGTTGGTTGGTCGGTGGTTGCGGTTGGCGGCCGTCTGAGACAGCAGTGCAAGCACGGGAAGACTGGCTAGTGCATGACGGCCGGCGGCGTGTCAAGTTGAACGCTTGATGGTGGTGTCATCGTCGGTGGTGTCGTGGTCTTGCGGGGGGGCTGCGGCGTGGGGGTACAAGAAGGGCGAACCCTCCCTCCCTCCCTCCCTCCCCGAGTCGTCCGGTCGCCTCGCCGCCCTGTGTATGACGCTTCGGTGTTTCGCCTACAAATGTTGTTGTATTCCTGCCTGGTGTGTTTTATCTGAGGCCATTGACTGTTCATCGTGTATCTGTTCCCCCCTAGATTATAAACGTACTATTTGGAGTACAATATACCGTTGAATTTGACTCAATCCCCCACCCTCTTTTTATATCTCGAACTCTTGTGCCCTGCATACCGTTGATTTTTTTTTTCTTGTCGTCCAGCCAAACGGGAACGGGTACATGAGCGAAGTGGGCAAGGAGCAGTACGGCGACTTCGGCCAGGACCAGTTCGGCATGCCCCAGCAGATGTCCGGCCAGGGTGGCGGCGGCGGCGGCGGGAGCGGCGGCACCTCAGGCGGCACAGGCGGCGCCGGCAGCGGCGGCGGAGGCGGTGGGTCGGTCGCCTCCGGTTCGAGCGGCCTGGGCGCCCCAAGCTTGTCGGCGGTATCTACGACGGCCGTCTCCGGCGGCGGCAGTGTTGGCGGCAGCGTCTCTGACAAGGTTTCCTCGGGCTCGCAGCTTTCGGGCGGTGCCAGCGGCGGCGGCAGTGCGGGAAGTGGCAGCGGAACCGGCGGCGGCGTGAACAGCCACTACGGCGGCGGCGGTGGGCACAACAGCCAGGGCAGTCGCCAGGCGCAGGGCATGTACGGCGGCGGGCAGGGCAGCGTTCCCCAGCAGGTGACGAAAGGGGGAGGGTGTGGACGACTCTTGGTGATGGGGAGGAGGGGCGAACAGAAAGCCAGACTGCTCTTTAATTACTGATGGTTGAAGTGTTTGTTGCGTCGAGGAGCTGCTGTTGTTGTGCTTGGATGATACGCTTCAAATCTGGGCGAATCGCTTTCTCAGTTGGAAGTGGGAGGGTTGCTTCGAAGCGTTTGTGACACTCTGCCGAAACGGGTTGGGAAACGAAAGTGATTGCGCGCGCGAGTCCAAAAGGAGGGATCCCGCAACGCCGATGCTGGACTTGTGCTGATAGCCCTACTTCCAGTATCAGTGCGAGGGCCGCTCGGTGGGACGGATAAATCGACATCCATGATTCAACCCCGAGTGTTTTTTCACCCTGTGAGAAGCTTTCCGTTCTGGCCCAATGCCTCAACTGACCCCCCCGTCTCATCGGCGGGACACTACTGTAAAAATCCGCTGAAAACGATACACAGGTTACTAGGAAAACATGTTGGATGTGCGATAGGATCGGCTAAGTTGGGGTTGGGGTTTAGGGCCTTCGTACACCGGTCGCCTCGGTGGTATCCTCGTAATCCGCCAGTCCCAGAGGTCGCGAGTTCGAATCCCCATGGGGTGAAAAATTTACGAAGTTTGCGGGTGAAAGCGAAATGTAGCTAAAATGCTCTCGTGAGTACCAAACATCGACGTTAGCACCGTTGACGAGGTAAAGGGACGTCTGGACCCTTCTCGCGATAAAAACAAAATTCAGGACGCACCGCAGGAAGAAGGTGGGGTATGAAAAGAAATATAAAAGAAGAAAAATAAAAAGCCCTGGTGTTAACCCTCTCCTGTGTGACCCTGGATAGTTGTAGTTGTACGAAAAAATACACTGGAAAGTGTAGTACTCTACATACGCTGAAAAGTGTAGTACGTCTCACCACGAAGAATGGTGGGACTGTCGCCATAATAAATAGGACGAAAACACAAAACACACACACACCCTGCCATGCCTTTTTCATGATGATACTTTCTTTTAGCTTTGGTATAAGCTCAATTAAAAACAGAAAGTGCACAAAAGAGCTAATAAATCCTTTAATGTTGCAGAAAACCAATTATGTGAAATTGGAGGTGACTTGCTTGAATCTGACCTGAACGAAGTTGCCGTTTAATTATTAAAGAGGCTCCAAGTAACATGTGTTGCATCTCGCCGTCCGCTTAAAGCGTACATGGTACCACATGTGTTGTATCTCGCAGTCCGCTGAAAGCGTACCTGGTTCTACCACATATTGTGCATTTCGCCTCAGGGGGACAGCCAAGGCGGTCACGGATGGCAGGGGCAAGGCTCCGCCTACCCGGGCCACCACACGTCGAACGCCGGAGGGTGGGGAGGGGGGGCGGGGATGATGCCCCCAGGCGGCCCCCAGCACCACTACCAGCAGGTGCGTGTTAACGACGAAAAGGCGGCAAGCAAGTCACGCGAAGCGGATGGCTTGCATTGTGTGTGTCTTTGCAATCGGAACCGACCGCGCTACGCTACAACCGGCTGACCAATGAAAAATCGTCAGCCTCTTGTATGTGCTTTAGTGTGTTTTTTGGCGTGCGTTTACCTGTGTGTCGGCAGTTCTCGTCTTTCGGAGTGTGACAGCACCCCTCTGGTGTCGTTCGGCTGCAATGTCGGCGCGGGTGGTCGGGGACGCTGGGAGGTACAAGCATTTATCCCTGATGGCTGATTGTGTTGGTGTCTCCCAGAAGTTTCCAACAGGGCAATCAGGTTTCGTGACTCGTATGGATGAGTGACTGGTGTTGCTTGTGGGTATTGTCCGGTTCGTGTTGTCCTTTGTCAAATAAACCACCCCCCGATGCACCCCCTCTGCCGGTGTTTGCCATCGGGGTTGGGTTTTCGTCGCTTGGCAACGACGTTGTAAAACAAGCCGCCACCCCCGGTGTTTGCCATCGGGGTTGGGTTTTCGTCGCTTGGCAACGACGTTGTAAAACAAGCCGCCACCCCCGGTGTTTGCCATCGGGGTTGGGTTTTCGTCGCTTGGCATGTAAAACAAGCCAATCCACTTCGGGAACTCGGCAACCAGGTTACGGTTTTTTTTTTTGCGGTAACCATAATGGTGGTCGAGTAGATCATGTTGTGCGGGGTGGAGANGCACAAGATGCCGAATACCTCACGGCGCTTCGCGCTTGGTGATGTGAGAGCCTGGTCCGGTGAGAACCCGGCGTGCTCCGTCCCGGCTTTGTAGGGATGCGAGGTCAATGGTCTAACGACTACAGCATGCACGACTATGAGTAATGAGTACACCCCCCGATGCATTGCTTCGCCCACATAGTATAACAGCGGGAAGGCTGCTGCTATTGGCGTCCTGATGTCTTGCTCTTTCATTTTCTGTTTTGTTTAACCGAGACCCTATCCCCCCGATGCCAACACCACCACGCACCATCCTCTTTCGTTCCTTTCTGTTCCGCGGCACCGCGAAATGCGCGCTTCAACAGCAGAGCCCCCCCCCGCCCGGCGGAAGCATGCAGTCTCAGCAGTACGGCTACGGCAGCACCGGTAACGGCGGCGACTCCTGGGGCAACGGCCGCTAAGATACGATCGGCCTTTCCTCTGGTTCCTATCGTCTCTCTCCGTTTTGGCCCTCCGGTTCGGGTGGGGGTTGCAAACGGGGGCGGGGGGGTGGGGGGTTCGTGTGACTCTGACTTGACTGCTGGGGTCGCTCTTATTTCCGGAACATGCGGCTAGTCGTGGTGTTCTGTGTGTGGAAGGGGGCGCCGCGGGTGGATCCCGCAGGAGGAGGGCGGTGTCCTCCCGGCCTTCCGATGGACTGGCGGTAGTTTCAACCGACTCGACTCTCCCTGGCTGTTTTTCTTCTGTGTTTTGGTGTGAATCTTCTCCATCGTTTTGGTTCTGTTCTGTTCTGTTCTGTCGGTGGGTATAGGCTGTTTGTTGGTCACGGCTCGGTCCGGTCCGGTCCGGTTCGGTTCGGTTCACGTTTGGTTTCTTTTCGTGGTATGGTTTGATTCGGGGGTATCTCGGGGAGTATTTCGGTCTGTTGTGGCGTTTGGGTTTCCCTTCGTTGGTTGAGAGGTTCCGTCTAATCTTGGACTCTCTCTCGCTGCTTTTCCTTGCTGTCTCTTCTTTTCATTTGACCGCTCTCTGTTTTTTGTCTTGCGCCTAAACCTCGAAGCGTGACAGGAGGTACACACGGGGGTTGAGGGCAGGGCGACAAGAGGAAGATGAAACACGGCAAATTAGTGAAGAGTTGGAAGACCTGTTTTTTTTTCGAGTGCACATGTTTTTTTTTTATTGCCAAGGACAGGGGTGGTTGTTCGGCTGTTGTTACCCGACCTCCCTCTTTTTCGCCGAGTTTGTCGTGAACTGCTAGGCAAGAGGTGTAAAGAGAGAGAGAGAGAGAGAGTAGCGGGTAGCTCTTAACGATGCAGGATCGAAAGTGTGTGGAGGGGGGGATATAGTTGGACGTGTGTTCAGGCGCGACGTGGGGCTCCGGAAATTTAGAGGGAAGGCCCTACACCGCCTGCCTCCGCGTCTTCAGAAGAATGTGCGCTCGTGATGCTGCATTTTCAATAACATCGCGGAGGAATGATATATAAAACACCGCCATCCCGTAGATGGCTGTAACAGCAGGGAACGTGGCGTTCTCGACCTTGAAGAAAGAAAAGGCAGTGTGTGTGGGCGGCGAGAGGCTCATGTCTGCTTCCTTTCCCCAACGATGGCGATGGGCGGTGCTAATAGGGTAGTAAGTAATTCTGGCACGCGAACGCTGTCTGTACCATGAACTAGCTGTGAACTGTTGCCGTCATGTCTTCTTGTGTTTGAAGGTGAGGCCACGGGTCTTCAAACTCCCTGCTCTGGTGACGTCATATTTGCGTAGGACGGGAGGAAGAGAGAGAAAAAACGAGATGCCTGTGGACAAGCGATAGATGTATCGGTGTGGATCATCAGGGAAGAAGAGGAACGATTTTTCGTTCGGCCCGTTGCCGTCAAATAGTCTGTTTCCAACACAACAAAACTTCGGGTACACAACACAAAAATCGGTGGTCGGGGGGGGGCTCGCTCCCAGCAGCAGAAGCAGCAAATACAAGGTTGGGTGTCCGTACCTGGAGGTACTACATCTAAAAGGTGTGGGAGTTCGCTCCTATCCATTTCTGCTACAGTGATCTTGGGTCGTTACCTCAACGAATAACGTCAGGCATCTCTCTGCGAGGTTGAATAACATGAACGTGAAGGGTCGGCCCCCTCGCGATTGGGTGTCGTTGGCGTGTGCTCTTTCTTACGAGTCTCTCGGCGGGGAGGTGGCGCTTGCTCGTTCGTTCTGCGGCGACCCCGCCGGGTAGAGGACTAGTAGTAGAGGGGGGGGGGGGGGGGGGAACCCCACCAGGCTGCTGTCGCTCAACGGCGTGGCAAGCGATAACAGAGAGGCGTGAGAGGAAATAAATTACGTGTAGATGGAAACGATATGATACGATGAACTCAATGAAATGCTGGAAATGGTGTCCGTTCTTCTTACCTAAAAAATATTCTGCTGCAGTCTGCCTGACATCAATACGGCGAGAGGGTCTGGAGACCCACAACACGACGTCTGCATGCATGCATATCCCCTCTTCACGCACATGCACTGCTTGCTGTGGAGCACCACCTTTCTTTCCACTCGTAGAACAGATTGTGTATGTTCGTGGCGTGTGTACACACTCCAAGTGTGTTTCTACTGGGTCATGCATGCGGCCCGTCGCTTGGTGCCGCTCTCTGTCTGCCTTGCAGACAAAAAAGAAGGCAAACAGCTCTCTCTCGGAGCGCGACCGACAGGAGCCAGCCACCGTTTGGGTCTGGTGCGCACGGTCGCCGCACACTGATGCTGCTGCTGCTGTGCAAACTAACGGTCGGTGTTCACCAAGGCCGAAACAGGAAACGAACGCGTTCTTTCTTCAGCCCATCTTGCTCACTGCCCCACCGATGTATTGATCATATGTACGTACGTGCTGTCCCATGTGCTACCACCGCTTCCTCTCGGCTACGCCCACCACGTGATGGCTCTACATCTACCACGGTTAGAACACATGAGGGTTGGCTGGGCGTTTGTTTTCTCTCACAAAAACGCGCAAGCACACCCGACCCTCGGGCCTCTTTGAGCACCCTTCCTTTTTTTTCGAGAAAACAAGACGGGCTAGTCTCTACACACGTACCACCACGTGTAATGCCGCGCCCTCACGACTAGTTGTATGTATGTCCAATGCCCAACACTAAAAAGCGAAAAAGGCTTTTGTTTTTTTGCTTGGTGTGGATAAGACTGCGGTAAGCAGCATTAGTAATGCGGTACGCAACCCAGCAGGCCGACCCGAACGGCGTCGTCCGATTCAGCTTCGGACTGCATGCATATGATCCAGCACCCCTCCTCCCTTCACCCGTTCCTTCCCCCGTCTTGATTGAAAGCTACAGTTGTAGCTGTTGACCCTCCCCCCCCC